TACCCATAGAAAAAATGTTATTGCTGTCCTGCACTACATATTGATTAACATAAACCATACGAAAGCTGATACCATTGTGTATTTAAACTTGTGACTAGAAGTTGGACAAATCTCCAGAGTTTCTGGAGTAGAATGTAGGAAGTAGTTGCTTACAAGAAGAAATTAGATTGTTTTATGGTGGAAAAAACATTTACAATCATGAATTTCTTGCTCTTTGTCTGAAGTATAAATCAATGTAGAGTTGGACATATCCTTTTGTGAGCACAGTGAGTGTGTATTAGTTTTTGGAGCCATATGAAACATTTCAATGTGTTCTTTATAACTGAATTATTATTCATTTCTTTGTGGCACTGTGCCATGACATCTATTAGTATATGTTATAGAGCATAATATTGGGGGTGTCTTCTAAATTTTCTAATAATTTGTGATTGATAGTTTGGTCCTGGTGGTCATGCGTATGTCTACCTCTGCTATGGTTTGCACATGATGCTCAATGTTGTAGCAGATAAGGAAGGAATTGGAGCAGCTGTTTTGATTCGTTCATGTGCTCCCATCAGTGGTAAACTGAATTACATACTCTCATACTCCTACGTTTTATAGTTGTAAATTTGTTCCCCAGTTCAGTTTGATATGTTCTATTTGATCTCTTTAGCCCCACTGCAGTTCAATGCATGCGTTCGTCAAAGTCACTCTTCACTCTGCGAAGGTTTATTTTTTTACATTTGTTGCATTCGTGCACCTCGAGAAAAACAATTAAATGATAGTATAGGTGTAGCTAAATGCATCCAATGAAATATTACTGAAGCAACTGTAGTTCTTGAATATTCTGGTTCTTTTAAAATAATTAACTAAAACTTGTCTGGTTTAGTTGATTTCATCAACCAATATTAAGATAGTCGGAGCTATGGCCAGGGAAGATAAACATCTGCTATAACTGTTTGAATATCATGAGTTCAACTTTGATCCATGAATTGGAATTCCCATGCTTGCATGACAAATGGAAAGCAAGGTTATATAGACACACATTGAAATTGAAGCACACTTCACCGACACCCAGTTATGATGATCTTCTCTCTCAAGTTCTGCGTGCTTGGACACTTAGGCTAGTTTATTATTTTAAACGAAGTCAAAATACCATTTAGGGTTTTCTTCAATGATAATGGACTAAACACTGCAGGTTTGGGTACTATTCAGCAGCGCCGGGGTTTAGAAAATGAGAAGCCTATTCTTCTTGCAGGTCCTGGAAAGGTAAGTTATGACCTTTGTTGGGTTATAAAAACTTAAGTTACTTGTTTAACATCATTATATTGAACAAAACTTTCTTAAAGATTACCTAGAGTTTAGTCCCCTTACTTGATTTAAGTCCATATCAAAAGAGTTTGGCTTTGTGTTATTGAATTTAGCTTGAACCTATTTTATTTGGTTCAAGGACACTAGTCTCTAGTATCTCCTACTCTGCCTTTTCCAGGAATCCTTGGGAGTTTCTTTATGCATTAAAAATTAAAACAAGTACTATCGAGTACAACTACGTTTTTCTAGATATCTGCCGCATGTGTCATGGGTAGCAAAACATCGTGCATTCATGAAACCTTTGCTTATGAAATGTCCTTAGGGCCTTTATCTGACCATTTGTTCCTTGTTGGATGGGTTTTATATTTTTGGCAATTGTGATGTTTTAAGCTTCCATTGGATTCCTTTTTACATCGAGTCACTGGACAATGGTTGTTTTCACTGGCTAAGAGTAATCTGAGTTTCAGATGATAGTTGTGATATCTGAAATATCATGTTCAATGGAGTAAATATCATTTAAAGGTATAAATTGAGGATTCTTTCTGTATTGGCTATATGACTAATTTGAGTTTTCAGTTTATTAACTTCCTTGATGAGTTTCTTGCGGTCTTGTAGATTTATAGAGGCCCTCATTGTGAATCTCAACTGTAGCTATGGAAGCATCCAATTTTAGTTTATGGTCATCTCCATCCAAATACTTTTCATTTCGGTGGAAAGGCGAAATGCAATTGTCTCTACTTGAATTCCATTGCTTACATTTAGAGAAGCATAGTTCTAATATTTCAGTATTAGGAAAATATTACTTGCAATTTCTGGAAGCTTGGTTGGTATATCCAGGTTGGAAGAAGTTTGTTATACAAGTCATAGTAGTAGTATGAGCAATTTGAGACGTTCTAGCAAATTGCAAAAAATGGCTTGGAAAAATGCAAATTCCGCTCTTTATAAGGAACAAAATTTGGTTCGTATTGAACTTTTTCTTTTTTCTTTTAGCTCGGTGCACAAGGCATCCCGCGTTCACGCAGGGTCCGGGGAAGGGCCACACCCAAAGCTGTGTGATGTAGACAGCCTAACCTAATGCAAGCATTAGTGGCTACTTCTACGGCTTGAACCCGTAACGTATAGGTCACACGGAGACAACTTTACCGTTACTCGAAGTTTTCCCTTCTTGGTTCATATAGAACATTAGTATATAATGATACGTAAGAGGTGAGATATGTTTTCTGTCTAACCTAGTGGATTCTGACTAAGGAGAATAGTCTTCACTTCAGGCATTGAGCTCTTCAGGTCATTCTGCCATTAGCATATATAGTTTCAGAGCTTGAGCTTTCTCAAGTATGAACAACCTTCCATTTGAAGATGAGCATGGTAAGAAATAGAAAGTAAAATTAATATCTAAGTTAGTAGAAACATTTGAAAGTACTTGTCGGTCATATCCCTGCTGTATCACCTCAAAACAATTGCTGAGATCACTTGTATATGTTTCATTTCCGTAAAGAAATGATTTGCAGTCATCACAAACTTACATGATAGTGTAATTGGTGTCATTTTGTAGGTTGGTCAGGCATTAGGACTATCAACAGAATGGTCTAGCCATGCCCTATATACTGCCGGTAAGCATTCTCTGAGTTCCATTTTTCAAATTTTGGCGACTATATGAAACTCCCGCCTACTCTATGCGTATGACAGGTGGTCTAGAACTCTTAGATGGGCCAGAACCAGATGAGATACTAGTTGGTCCTAGAGTCGGTATAGAGTATGCTTTGCCAGAGCATGCTAATGCATTGTGGAGATTTGCAGTTGCCGGTTCTTCATGGATCAGTGCCCCTAAAAAAACTCTCAAACCTCTTTAGCGCATCAACAACGGAACACAAATCCGCCTCCACCCCCCGGGGGAGTGGAAAAGTGAGAAAGTAATCAAGCAGTTGTCTATTGTATAGGATTTATAGTCCACTCTCTCAGGTTAACCATTTTTTTGTGTATATTTTGGTTGACTCTGCGTATATCTCAATCGTGTTCTTGGTTACATGCGCATTGTGGAGATTTGCAGTTGCCGGTTCTTCATGGATCAGTGCCCCTAAAAAGACTCTCAGACCTCTTTAGCGCATCAACAACGGAACACGAATCCGCCTCCACCCCCCGGGGGAGTGGAAAAGTGAGAAAGTAATCAAACAGTTGCCTATTGTATAGGATTTATAGTCCACTCTCTCAGGTTAACCACTTTTTTGTGTATATTTTGGTTGACTCTGCGTATATCTCAATCGTGTTCTTGGTTACATGCAAAAATATGCCACATTGTGTTGGATTATCTTACCTAATTAGTTAAAAAAATGATCTAACTCGATTTTACAATGATACTCTCTCCGTCCCAATCTATTTGACATAGTTTGAATCGGCACGGATTGTAAAAAAATAAAGAAAGAATTTTCAAACTTGTGGTATTAAACATGTCATAGTATTTGTGTGACAAACTTTTAAAACTTGTGGCCTTAAACATACCATAACATTTGTATGGCTATAAAAGCCTCTCAATAAGAATAATATGGGAAGTGCAAAGTTAAATATGGGAAGTGCAAAGTTAATTATTTTCAAATATAGAAAATATGTCGTTGAAACGCAAGGAGATAACCAAGAAAATCCAAATCTGTATATAAAACCTTTTTGTCTTGTTGTGAACGGGCAATTGAGCTTTCCGCAAAAAACCCATTTTGTGTTTAAACTTTAAACATGAAAGTAATGGTTGATTGCAAGAAAGATGCTTGATGACAAGATAAAACTATATAAGACCTATCTTTTCGTCTTTTTCGTTAATATCATTTAAAAGCACTGGATTCATTGAATTGTCTCTGTGTGAAATGTGAATATAGTATATATGTCTTATATGACAGTTCTATTATTATAGTTTTGTGGTACCCAACAAGTATGGAGCTTTTCATTTGCCGAACGATGTATGTGCTTACTTTATAGCTCAAAAAAAGGAGCACAAAATAAACTCTAGAAAAAAAGAATGCACCCAAAATCGATTGTCAATGAAATGAATAAAAATCATAAGAAATTAGAATTTTCAAAATTACTCGATACATATGCTAGTTGGGCGAAGGTTGATACACCTTGCCCCATATGGTGTTACGACACACCGCTTAGTCGATTTTTTGCTAAATATGAATATATAGATTATAAGCAGAACGGAAATATTGTATAAGTATAAAAAAGTCATCGTTTGTTATTATAATAATTTGTTCATTTCTTCAAATGTTGATACCGCATATGAAAAATCTGCCGTAATAGCAAGTATTTGGGTGCTAGAAAATATACATTCATATTTGACTGCTGAGGCCTGGTTCAAGTCTTCTTATTCTGAAAATATTTTTTGCCAAATGGATGTATTAAACCACCTAAACAGATGAATGCATCTAAAATATTTTTTCAGCTTTATATATTTTGGAGTTTGTGTTTGGTCATCTGTTGTTTCTTTGAGTTTGAGATAACCAATAAGCTAAAAAAGCTCATTTTTAATTTTGTGATTAGGTTGTTGAAAGAATCTATTTGGTCTAAATTAGTTCAAAGTTCTACCTACCTCATCTACCCAAATGAGAAAAAACAAGACATATAGAGCTAATAAAAAAATAGCAGACTAAGTCCCCACTCAATAATTACTGGTTCACTGTTTCTCTGATTTTGTCTATTCCCCACTAAAAACTAAGTCAAAATGAGCATCTGAACTTCTACCAGTATATATGGTATTCTTTGCGTAATTTTAACGTTGCTTCCTCTCTTTGATTTTCTAGTCTTTCAACTCTGTCTATAGAGACCAGAGACTAGACTCACCAAGTCAGCAATTTACAGTGTTTAATCTTTGGCTATTTAAGTGGTGCAAATAGAAGTATATCATCTAAGTTTAGAATGGCTCCTGGAGGTGGTGCTAGTTGCAAAGAAATTATAGAAACATGGCAAAATTTTATAAGTTGTGACACAACAAATACACAGCTAGAGAAAAGTATTACATATCTTGGTGAAAAGTTTAGAAAGTCTTCAATTCATAGTGTTCATGAGTTGCTTGAGTGCCCAATCTGCACAAGGTCCATGTATCCTCCAGTTTACCAGGTTAATACTCCTCTTTATGTGATTGTTCACATATGCTATCAAATTCTTTATATCTATTCTTTTCTTTGTAATGGTTGTGACTGGACTAACTTGCTCGCGCCTAGACTGTTTTAACGTGTAGTCTCCCACCGGTACAGTTGCCAGGCGACTTTGTCAACCAAGACTTAGGCAGAAGAAAGATGACTCAACATAGTAACTTACAAGGGGTCGCTTTTGCTAACCTCCTCTAGAAAAAATTGGGTTGCAATTTGAAGTTTATACTATGAAACTGCACATTAGGTTTATAACAATAGTTGTGACATAGTATGGATATTCTGGGGTTAATACATCACATTAAGATACTATAGCTGTCTAGAACCCAGTCATCTATACAGTTGGGATACTGAATGTAATCCAAGAGTATACGAAGAAGTGTTTATATGTGAGTGAAATAAGAATTTGCAAGATTTCTCCAATTTCTTTCTTTCCAAACTATCCACCTGAGTGCAGAAGGGGTAAATTTTGAACCTCTGTTTCTTTGTTGAATTTCCAGCTCATAAACATATACTCCTTCCGTTTCAGTTTATATTAACCTACTTGACTAAGCACGAAATTTAAGAAAAAAGAAAAAACTTTTGAACTTATGGTGTAAAGTGAGGAACATATATTTTGTGTGGCTATAAATCATTGCACGAAGTTAAATGGTTTCCAAATATGGTAAGTGGTCATTCTTTTTGGCACGGACTAAAAAGGAAATAGGTTCATAGAAATTGTAACGGATGGAGTATTTTACTACTGTTTTCCTCTTTCAGGTTAGGCGCCCTTTGCTTGAACGAAAGAGGGGTCTTTACCAGGACCGATGCTAGTAGTTAGATTCACATGAGCTCTAAACATGTTGAAAACTGTTGAACAAACTCTAGATATCACCTATAATGAAGAAGTTTATTACTTCTACAACAGATTGCTTGTAGAAGACCTATAAACATAGCTTTATTTGTTGATAGATAAGCACTTGTATTTTGTATTCCAATCTTTTTATCTCATATTATATAATCCATGTAGTGTCCAAATGGCCATACACTATGCACCAACTGCAAGTCTGGAGCACATAATTGCTGTCCTACTTGCCAAGTTGAACTTGGAAACATAAGGTGTTTAGCCTTGGAGAAAGTAGCAGAGTCATTGGAATTGCCCTGCAGACATCAAAATCTTGGCTGTCACAAAATATTACCCTACTATCGGAAGCTCAAACATGAACAACGTTGTAAATTTCGGCCTTACCATTGTCCATATGCTGGATCAGAGTGCTCCATAAAAGGGGACATTCCAACACTCATGTTACATCTTAAGGAGGACCACAAGATTGATATGCATTTTGGATGCACTTTCAATCATCGATATGTCAAATCAAATCCAGAGGAAGTTGAGAATGCAATATGGATGCTCACAGTAAGTCTCTGCTACTTTTAACAGTTAGTGGTAAATGCTGTTTTAATGTATCAAATGCCTTGTTTTCCAACTGATGATGTTCAAAATGCTACTCCCTCTGTTTCAAAAAGATTAGCACTATTTCCTTATTAGTCAGTTTAAAAAAGATTGGCACCTTTCAAAATTTCCTTAATAAGAAGCATTTATAGCCACACAAGAGATATGTCACGTTTCAGACCATAAGTTTTAAAAGTTTTATGGCCGGACAAATGTTAGGTCTTATTTAAGACCACATATCTCAAAAGTTTTCTCTTCTTTATTAAAGTTTGTGCTAAGTCAAACTAAAATAATCTTTTTAGATCGAAGAGAGTAGTACTTCTGTCAAAAAAAAAATTTGAAAGGGGGGTGGGGGATTTTGTACTTCTCTCAGGCTAAAACAGACTATTTCTCTTTTTATAAATTTGTTAGTAAATGTTTGTATTCTTCTTTAAAGAAAGACTGTATCGTTACAAAAGCCTTACATTTCTATGTTATGACTCACACATGGGCGAAGCCACACTTTGGTTAGGGTAGTCAATTGACTGTATATTACACTGTATATATAGGTAAAATATCAAGTTTTAGAGGTACATAACATATATTGAACACTCTTTGTGGGGAATTTTTTTAACTTCTTTCAAGTTCGAACACCCTTGAGGAAATTCCTGGATTCACAGACTGCTCAATGACATCTGTTACACAATGCAGGTTTTCGACTGTTATGGAAAACAGTTCTGCTTGCACTTTGAGGCATTTTCACTTGGTATGACACCAGTTTACATGGCCTTTCTACGTTTTATGGGCGAGGACAATGAAGCCAAAATGTTCGCCTATAGTCTAGAAGTTTGTGGTTTTGGCCGTAAATTGACATGGCAAGGTATTCCTAGGAGTATCCGAGATAGCCACAGAAAAGTTCGCGACTGTCAAGATGGACTTATTATTCCAAGAAGCTTGGCACTTTTCTTTTCTGGTGGAAATAATGGACAAGAGCTTACATTGAAAGTCACAGGTCGTATATGGAAAGAGCACTAGAGAAGTTAGTAGTGCATAGGCAATTGTACAGTGTCAATTTTTCAGAAACTCTTAAGTTTATACTTTGCCTTTTTTGCATATGTTGTATATCATATCAGCTCAGGATCTCTTATGAAGATAGCATATAATTAAGTCATATTCCACTCTGATGTAAAAGGTATACACTACCTAATTTGCATGAAATAAAGTTAATTTATTTCTTGTTTTGGTTATTTCTTACCAATTAATAGGAAAAAATGGTTATGGACTTGTGGTGACAGTTTAAGAGTTGGTTGTTCTAGTGGTGAGCACCCTCCACTTCCAACCAAGAGGTTGTGAGTTCGAGTCACCCCAAAAGCAAGGTAGGGAGTTCTTGGAGGGAGGGAGTCGAGGGTCTATCGGAAACAGCCTCTCTACCCCAGGGTAGGGGTAAGGTCTGCGTACACACTACCCTCTCCAAACCCCACTAGTGAGATTATACTGGGTTGTTGTTGTTGTATATTCCTCAGTGTTAGCTAAGAGTAAGAAGATAATGAGATTTTTAGAGTGGGATAGGCCAAAAGCGAGATTTGGAAAAGCTGTTTGTCGTTTGATTTATTAATGCTAAGGCAAGAATTATATATAGAAACACCGAAATTTTCATTGTCAATACATTTGTTATATTTTGAATAAGAAAAAGTAAAGGGAAAAGGAAAAACTGCATGTATATACAATATACTCCTAGTTAGTACGTAGAAATGTGTTGGTTTTAAGCGGTTAAATGAGTCCATGCGACTTTCCCGTTTAAAACAGAAAAATCCGTTCTTTGCAATCTACCAAAGATCCATAATATAGAAACAGAGAAATTTAGCAACAACAAAAAAATTAAAAAAATCAAGAAAGAGAAATAAAAGCAATTAAGCAACTTCCTTTCTCCTTTTTCTTTGTTTTTCAATCTTCCATCTCCTTTCTGTCTCCCCCTTTTCCCAGATTCATTTTCCAAGATAGATTGCTGCTTTCCATAAAAACTTTGGTACGTAATATTTCTCCTATTTATCATTTTAATATTGTTATTATAATTTTTATTCTGTAAATTAGTTAGTAAAACACCTAAAATAAACATGTTTGGTTCAACGGGATAAAGAACAACGATGTCCTTTTCTCCGGTGCTTTCCTTTCATGATTGTCAGTTTTCAAGGACTAAATACCCCATATGTCTTATTGGTTTTTTGTTACATATTTTTTTTTATTGTTAGACCTGTATTTTAATCAATATCTTTTTAAAATTTTCATAGGAAATCTGCTGTGTAACATATAAAATTTTACTCGGAAGCATTATATGGATTGATAAAATCAGCATTTTGGGAAGAGAGATTGTGCCTTCCATAATTGAACGACAATGTCGTGCTGTGGAGGTGGAGAAGAAGACGTATACAGCGGTGGTCCGCCGTCTAACCAAAATACAGCCCCTCCTAGAGCCGGCAATCCCTACGGTGGTGGTATATATGCTCCTTACTCGAAAAAATTTACCTCTATCCGGTGTTTACTCCAAATCAATAAGTACAAGACATGCATCTTGTATATACACTTTTATTATTTAATCATTGTTAAGTGATATATATTCTCACTTTAGTTTGCAACTTTAAGATTAAATTATTTACGTTTAATTTAAACACCAGGTAGGGGTATGTTATTTGCTCTCCTACCCTCTCTTTTTATATGCTTGAAAGAATTATCTTAGCTATATATAGCTTTATGGTTTTGGGATCAAACTGCCTATATTAAGCTGGAGCATTACTTTAGAAATAATAGATAGAGCATCACATTGTTTTTTATGCAAGTTGTGCCTCATGAACTAGCATACCTTTCACTTCTGAGTCTTAGGTTGTACAAATGCATGGTAATGTTGCGTACAATAGACCCTTGTGGTCCAACCCTTCCGTGAACCCCGCGTATAGCGGGAGCTTAGTGTATCGAGCTACCCTTTTTGCTTATAAGAAGAACCATCCCCCTCTTCTCCTAAAACCAGTATTTTGTATATCAAAGTTTAGCTTTTTTGGTGTTGTAGCCAGTGATAGAGGAGAACCAGGGGGTGGTGCAAAAACTGGAACTCCGCAGAAAGTTTTACCAATTGAGATACCGGTTGTGTCATTGGATGAGCTAAATAAATTGACTGGTAATTTTGGTCAAAAAGCTTTGATTGGAGAAGGATCTTATGGACGCGTATTTTTTGCTAAATTAAGCGATGGCCAACAAGCAGCAATTAAAAAGTTGGATACTAGTTCTTCATCAGAACCAGATTCTGACTTTACAGCCCAGGTAAATTTCCTAATAATGGCATTTCTCTCTTCTTTTTGTGGCAAAAACATGCTACATGAAATTTGCTTTTTCTACCTATGCAGTTATCAATGGTTTCAAGACTTAAGCATGAGCATTTTGTGACACTTATGGGGTATTGTCTAGAAGCAAACAATCGAATCTTGGTATACGAGTTTGCAGCTATGGGCTCTCTACATGATGTTTTACATGGTATGTCAAACTGAACTGTTAAAATATTGCTGAGCTTCAGTAATAGCACGCTGCACAAACGACTAATGCTTTACATACAAAAGGCATCAAATGTATGCAAGATAGATTGCAGCATCATAATTGATTGTTGGATGTTTTGTTGTAGGTAGAAAAGGTGTACAAGGTGCTGAGCCTGGTCCAGTTCTTACCTGGAATGAGAGAGTTAAAATTGCTTATGGTGCAGCAAAAGGCCTCGAATACTTACACGAAAAAGTTCAGCCGCCTATTGTGCATCGTGATGTCAGATCCAGCAATGTACTTCTCTTTGATGATTTTACAGCAAAAATTGCTGATTTCAACTTGACAAACCAGTCTTCCGATACAGCAGCTCGTCTGCATTCGACTAGAGTTTTGGGGACATTTGGCTACCATGCACCAGAGTAAGCCTTGCACTCTGAGTTTGTTCTAAGTTGCAATCGCGCCCCTGCTTATTTTCACAACGTAGTCCGTCTGTTTACCAAGCTTTATAAAATAACTAATCATTATAGTAAACACAAAGAAATGTAGTATCGATATAATATTTTTAAAGCACTTGTTACAAGCAGTAGAAGGGGAGCTTTGGCGTAACTGGTAAAGTTGCTGCCATGTGACCAGGAGGTCACGGGTCCGAGCTGTCGAAATAGCCTCTTGCAGAAATGTAGGGTAAGGCCGCGTACAATAGACCCTTGTGGTTCGGCCCTTCTCTGGACCCCGCACATAGCGGGAGTTTAGTACACCAGGCTGTCCTTTTTTACTTGTTACAAGCAGTTGATAATTGATATAAAGACCATACTGTTGTGCAGGTATGCAATGACAGGACAGATAACACAGAAAAGTGATGTCTATAGTTTTGGAGTTGTTCTCTTAGAACTCTTGACAGGAAGGAAGCCAGTAGATCATACAATGCCCAAAGGACAACAGAGTCTTGTTACATGGGTACCTTCTTATCCTACCTTTTTCTAATTATCTTTATTCATACCACAAGTTTACTGATTCATTCTAAAATTTTCTGCAGGCAACTCCAAGATTGAGTGAAGACAAAGTGAAGCAGTGTGTTGATCCCAAGCTAAATAATGACTATCCTGCAAAAGCAATTGCTAAGGTTTTCTTACTAATCTTTGCTAAAAAACTAGTTAAAAGAGGTCTTGGATAACCTTTAATCTTTAATGTTACATTTCTCTAACTGCTCATTCCACTTATAGCTTTTATGTATACTTTCCTCTCAGATGGCTGCTGTTGCAGCACTTTGTGTTCAATATGAGGCAGATTTTCGGCCAAATATGACGATAGTCGTTAAGGCATTGCAACCACTTCTCAATGCAAAACCAGCAGGACCAGAGTCTAATACATAGGCACTGTCTGCTTAAAATCAGCAGAACTAATACATCTGTCTCAACAAATCTATGACAAACTATGCATGATTGATGTTCTTGAACTCTGAAAAAAGGGAATTCTTGAGCTATCCTCCTAACCATAGCAGACGCATTAAGGTTATGCACTCTGCATCCTCTCTGCTTCTACAGATAGAAGCCTAGGGAAAAAGTTTGAGACTTTTGGGTTTAGTTTAAATTCTCATGAGTAGGTTATATGTGACATGTTACTGGTTATGAATACCAGTAAGTTTACCTTTTGTGAGTTTGAACGCTGAGGGGCCAATATTTATGATTCAAATGCATCAGTTGTTAATTGAACAAGAACTACTCAAACCATTTTCATCGAAATGGCCTCTAAAGGGAAACATGGTTTAAATTAGAAAAGAGAACGACAAGAACTTGTAATTGTTGAATAATTATTCCATGACCCATGTCCTCATGCTTTGGTTTCAGATCACTATTCCCAGTGCAGCACAATTGGTGTTTGAATGGTTCATCAAACTGAAGTTTTTTTTAACTCATATTCACAATCCAAAAACATAAAGACCTGTTCCATACTGTAATCTCCTTTTAGTTAAGAAAATACTAGTAATAACTAAGGGAAAGCGGCTCAAATGTTAGCAATAAAATTCATCAGAACTAACATCATTGAAACTTTTCCCTTCTGCTAAGAAGATTGAACCACTAACTACGCGGCAAAAGGATTGCAACTAAATAGCTAAAGCTGGAATCAAATGCCAAGTTTGAATTTGGCTGATCATTACATTAGATTGTTTGAGGAGCACACAAATGATGTGAATCTTTACTGCTTTGTGGCAGCAACAGAGGTGACGAAGTATAATCACTGTTTGAAATGGAACTCTACAACTTGCGCAAAAATCACTGCATAGTTTGTCACCTAATAAGTGGGGCAATGCCCATTTAACACAATAATACACGCGCTGCAAAAGAGACCATGCAAAATTAAGCGCTTAAGAACAACATTTTGTGAGATATTAAATTTGGTTGTGAAATCATAGACATCTGGGTTAATATTCTTAAATCAATGCATAGGTTCTAGTAATAGATAATTCTGCACTTCCATTTGGAGCAACAAGTTCAATGAAGACTTCCAGTGATAATGTCAACAAAATTTATAGCTAAAAAGCAGAGTCTGAGGTGACACCAAAAAACTAATCCTGTCTTTCAATTTCATAAAAGAGCACGTAAATAATCACCAGCTCATAAACAAAGTAAAATCAGTAGCCTCCCTTCAAATCGTTAACCACATCATATGGTATGGGGGTAACAGTCTCCAATGTAGCGCCTTCAACCATGAAACCTGGTTTGGGTCC